GGGGTGGGGAGAGGCAGGGAGGAAGCAACTTACCCTCCCTCTTCTCCTGCCTCCTCCTGGCTGAATGAGGGCCGGAAGCGGGGTGGCCGGAAGCAGGGGGCGGGGCTTCGTCATGTGCCCCCCCCCCGTACCTCACCCGGGGGAACTGCGATCCCCCGCGATCCCCCCCCGAAATGACCTCTGCTCCCCCCCCCTTCATTAACAGTCGTGGTATGCTCCACTCTACATAGAGTGTATGCGTAGAAAGTTGGATCCCACTAATCGGTTCCACTAACAGTGGTGGTTTTCCTCCAGTTCAATAAGCCCTCCCCCAAGGCCAAATGTCCGTCCATTGGCAGGATTCAGTGAGTTCGCAGAACAGATCTGCAGGCCCCCAACTCATATATATATTCTCAATCAGACCAATGCGCAGGGCACCTTCTGGCTTCGAAATACCCAGTTAACGTTGGCTCAAGGATGGGATCCTGGTTTCTGGACAACGGTGATACTTCTGAGATTCTCCTGCACCTTTCAGCTCTAGCATGGACCATTATTTGTAAGTCCAAAAACCTCGCCACATCCTCCTGCAGAAGTGCGGTCCTCTCGATCTCCAGCGTTGAAGGTGTCAGTGTTGGAAGCCACCAGTGAGAAAGTGTCGACCTTGGGAGCCACAAGAGAGATGGGTATCCGGGTCTGACCCCATTTCAAAGAATCTTCTTCCATTCGTATTGGCTTCCCGGCGCAAAGACCTTCTGACAGACTCATAAAGGAACCAATCTCCAGATAGTATTTCTCTATGAAAATTGCCACTCCAAAAGCAACGAAGGATGCCTCAGCCTTCCCGATTCAGTATTGTTGGCAGTGCTTCTCATCGGTGAGCCTCTTTAGAATTCTGAACCAGTGTGGTGCTGCAAGCCCAAAATGGCAACTGCACTTACCTTCAGTCACATAATGAAGACCATTGTGCTGTTGTGAGAGCTGCTGCTAAACAATGTTTTTTAAAAATCTACACAGCCAATCAAATCTCCATTGCCCCCCTTGTCATGAATAGCCCAGGCAAGTCTGACCCTGCCAGGTACTTGGATGGGAGACCTTCTTGGAATACCAGAGGCAGGAGGCGGGGGCAGGCTTTATTCTGCCACCTCTCTGAATATCCTCCAGGCCCCCAGTAGGGGTCAGTCACCAGAGGTCGCCATGACTTCCAGGTGCACACACACTCACACGTGTGCACACACACACATATACATGCACATATGAAAAATACACCACCACCCCAAATCTCCAATGGCCAATCAGAAGCCTTCCTGGGCAAAAGCCCTACGTGGCCCCATCCACTTCCTAAGAACAACTAGAGGGCCCCAGGAAACGTGTTGGTGGGTTCCATGGCACCCACGAGCACCACCTTGGGGACACCCCGCCTCTAGCACAGGATTGTCTACTCTGGTGGTGGCCTTCTGGAGCCTCAGGTCAAGGTCTTTCCTCAGCCTTGCAAGCTAGATAGGCCAGAGACTGTACCTGGAACCTTCTAAATGCATTCCACCACTAAGGCATGACTCGGGTTGCCAGGTCCCCTCAGGCCACTGGCAGGGGGCGGGGTGGGGTGTAGAATTGCCAGATCCAGGTTGAGAAACTCCTGGAGATTTGGGGATATGGGGCCTGGGAAGGACAGGGGCCTTAGTAGGGTACAAGCAGGGGTCTTGTTGTAGAAAAAGAGCTGCCGGAGCTCATTAGCATAACTCATTAGCATAACTTATTTGCATATGCCACGCCCCCTGACATCACCGGAAGTGACAGAAGGCCACACCCCCTGACATCACCGGAAGTGTGTCAGAAGGCCCGGCTACTTACCCTCCTGCTTCATCCTCATTCCCAAACGGAATGAGGATCGAAGCAGAGGGCGGGGTAAAGAAGGGGCGGGGCTTCACCACGTGACCGCCCCGCCCCCTAGAGGTTCTCTTCCGGAGCTCCGTACCTGAGAGCTCCCCCCCGACTAGAGCCCTGGGTACAAGGCCATACAGTCCACCCTCTAAAGCAACGGTTTCCTCCCAGGGAACCGATCTCTGTCGTCTGGAGATGGGCTGTCGTTCTGGGGGATCGCCAGGTCCCACCTGGACTGGCATCTTTACTAGAGGCAGGGGTCATTTCCTGCGGGAGCGCACAGGAGCAGAGCTCCAGCAGTAAAGAGTCCAGGGGGCGGGCACATGCAACAAGCCCTGCCCCCTGCTCCCAGCAGCCCTGGGCCACGAGGAACAAGAAGCAGCCAGGTAAGCTGCAGTGGGTGTTGCCTTCTGACACACATCCGGTAATGTCAGGGTGTGGCATATGCAAATACGTTATGCTAATGAGTTATGCTGATGAGCTTCTGCACCTCTTTTTCTACTAAATGACGCCTGACTAGAGGTGACCTTTGTGGTATGTTTCCAACACAGTAGCTGAATTTTTCAAGACCTGCTCGTCAGGGCACCAAGCTTTGGAATCTCCAAAACAGAAGATCAACAAAAGAAATTATCTGCAGTCCTACAGATAGGAAATAATGGAAATATATCATGTGGGAGTATAGACTGTTTTTATTCCGTTGTGGCTTGTCATGCTGTCTTTTCACGTTTTATTTTTTTCGCATTAAGCAATGCCCTTAAAATGTGTTTAACAAGTGGCGCTTTATGTTCCTTATTTTCCCTTTTAAAAAGGTAAAGGTTCCCTTGCAAGAAAGCCAGTCGAATCCGACTCTAGGGTTGCGGTGCTCATCTCCGTTTCAAAGCCGAAGAGCCAGCGCTGTCCGAAGACGTTTCCGTGGTCATGTGGCCGGCATGACTAAACACCAAGGCGCACGGAACGCTGTTACCTTCCCACCGAAGTGGTACCTATTTATCTACTTGCAATTTCTTGCTTTCGAACTGCTAGGTTGGCAGGAGCTGGAACTAGAGACGGGAACTCACTCCGTCATGCGGCACCCGGGTCTCGAACTGCTGAACAACTGACCTTCCACAGCCTGCAGTTCAGTGTCTTAACCACTTGAGCCACCGCAGCTCCATTTCCCCTTTTACCCCTTTTTAAATTCAGGATCCCCTTAAACGGCAAAAACTATATATATGAATAAATGGTGGGGTTTATTTTTTGGAGGAGCTGTGCATGGGGACTAGATGAAACTCCACTCCCCCCTCTTTCCCCATCTTAGCTTGGGCCAATTTCAGCCTCAAAACTGATTCCATCTGGACAGCTTCAGCTGGGCCTCCTTCAGCAGGCTGGGGGGGGATCTGCCTGGTCTGTGAGCAATTTAAAAGTTAATGGGATTGCTTTCAGTCTGTGCTTTCCAGGCAGTCGTGAATCCCTGGCAGTCCTTGGGTTCCATTGAATCCCACGAGTTATTTAGCTCTGCATACCTCCGGCTCCTCTGCTTCCACGTTGGACGTTTCTGGTATCCCTTTCATTTGCCTTCGGATGAAGCATTTTGGATCCCCCACAAAAAATATACCAGTTATTCCCTGATGAAACAAAAGCAGTCAGGTGAAATGGGAATGGTGTGGATGTGCGGAAATTAACTTCATACATGTGAATAAAGCCAAATATGGTACAGCGGTTAAAAGCAGTGGACTCTAATCTGGAGAACCGGGTTTGATCCACTCCTCCACTTGAAGCCTGCTGGGTGACCTTGGGCCAGTCACTGTTCTCTGAAAACGGTCTCAGCCCCACCTACCTCACAAGCAGTGTTCCCTCTAAGCTGAGTTAGTGTGAGCTGGCTCACAGTTTAATAACCTCGGGCTCACACATTTTTGTCTCGGCTCAGGAAGGATGGCTCCAGAGCAAACTCATTTATGCAGCAGCCAAATTGCTCACTCACAACTTTAATGCCAGTAGCTCGCAAAGTAGAATTTTTGCTCACAAGACTCCACAGCTTAGAGGGAGCATTGCTCACAAGGTGTCTGATGTAGGGAGAGGAAGGGCTAGTAAGCCCCTTTGAGACTCCTTAAGGTAGAGAAAAGCAGGGTATAAAAACATGCTCCAAGAGCATACAGTTAGAATAACATACACTATCTTTCGCTTTTGGTAGGGGGGAATCGGGAATTGTATCGATATGGTAGATAAGGAACTATGATTGCAGAGATCCTGGGTTCAAATGTTACCTCTGCCATGAAGTTGCTAGGGAGCTCTGGGCAATCTCAGTCACTGCCCTCATCTGTGGTGTGGGGTTAATAAAGCTCTCTTGACAGCGCTGTTGTCGGGATTATGACCAGATAATGGCTGTGAAGCAAACTGAACACTGAACATGATATATAAATAAGAGGCAGTTGGGACCTGATGTATGAGGTACTCTCAAAGGCCTGCTTTATCCCCAGTACTCTTATTGTATGTAAAACCCTTGGCTTTTACATCTGGCTCATAATCTGCCCCCTTATTCAGATTCTACTAACCACACTGATGGACACTGCTGTAATCGTCAGATCAGACTACTGTAATGCATTGTGTGCCTCTGAAGACATCTCTGAAGCTTCAGTTGGTGTAGAATGTGGCCGTGGGACTCCTGTTTGGAGTCAGTGCTTGGGATATATAAGGCCAGTGCTGGGCCAGCTGCGTTGGTTGCCTGTATGCTTCTGGGCCCAGTAAAAAGTGTTGATTGTCACCTTTAAAGACCTTTGTGGCCTGGGACCCTCATACATCCTGACCTGCATCTGACTCCCACCATACTTCCAAGGTGTGCCAGTTGCAGGGCCGGCTCCAGCTTATTTTGCACCCTAGGCAAGGATCCCTTCTGCCCCCCCCCCCCCCGCCCCCCTCCGCCCCCCCCCCCCCCCGTGCGCCCACCAATTTTCAAAAATAAATGCATTTTAGGAAGAATGAAAAACACAATCAAGAAATCCCCAGAGTACGGGACCGGGTGCAGTTTGGTGCCCCTAAGAGCCTAGTTCGCCTAGAGCGTGAGCCGGCCCTGGCCAGTTGCACTCCTCAGAAAACCTTCTCTTGGTGGCACCCTCAACTAGGATGGCCTGTTTGGCAACAGTTTGGTCACGGGCATTCTCTCTGGTAGGTCCCTTCCTCTGAAATGGCCAACTGGAGTCGGTATGGTGGGAACACCTTGCTGAATCCAGGAAGATAGGCAAGTGTTCTGTTCCAGAGGGTATTTGGTAAGCCTTCTTTGGCTATATTGACTCTGTGTACTGGCTTTTCACTCCATGTGTTAATTATTGGGTTTAACGTGTTGGACACGTTGGGTTGCCAACTCTGGCCTGGGGAATTCCTGGAGATTTGAAGGTGGTGGCTGGGGAGTGGGCTCAGCTGCCATTCCCTCCTGGGGAGCTGCTCTCTGTAGTCTGGAGTTCAGTTGTGATTCCAGGACAATTCCAGGGCTTGTTCAGAGGATGTCAGCCCTACTTACAAGATCTCCGTCCTACAGCTTTTGCTCTTTCATGATCTGCCTTTAGTTTGTGGGGTTAAGACTTGGGCATAAATGTTTGAAATGAAATAAGCAAATGCTACATATTTCTGTTGAGACTATGACTCTCTTTGAATCCTGTCGATCGGGAGAAAATTGGGATAGACATGTGTCATGCTACCCTGTGGGTTGCCACCTTCCTCTGCCACCACTCTGGACTTAAGGTCCCTTGGGAAGGCCCAGAGTACCCTCCCAAGCCCAGCCAAAAATGCCACGTTTAGGCTGAAAAATATAGGCGTGATGACCAGGCAGAGAACATTAAAAATGGTTTATTAATACAGTAACGGGGCATGGAAAAACAAGACCAGGTGCTTAATATATAACAGTGTCTAAAGGTAAACAAAACAAATCTAACGCGGCTACCTATTTCTCTTAACTGATTATTATTCAAGGCCCACAGCCTTTTATACCAGGCCTGTGCCTGTACTCACTCTGTCTCAAGTGAGGGATCTTTCTCTCAGACCAGACTGTCCTCTCAGCTTAACTCTGTGGGAGAAAAGAACGCAGTTCTACAGCCCACAAAGTTTATGTAACAATCCCCTCATACAATCCCTGGACACCAATTGGTTACAACCGGCGCCAAGCATTGTGGGGATTGTAGGCTGTCTGCTTTCCACTCCCACACAGGTCTCCTGGGCCTGGGCCTCACTAGGCCTTGTCCCCCAGTCCTACACAGATTATGACAACATGTTTTAAATACCCTTAACTATGTTAAAATATTAAGGCGGGACAAGGAATTCAGTGTCTACGTGGGGAGACTCAACCAAATTTAAAGGCCAGCTTTTGTATGGATTCCATGATTCCCTGGGCCACCCGCACCTCTCAGTGGAGTATATCAAAAGTGCTGATGGTTTCTTGCTTATACTCCATAAAATAACAAGGCCATGATGAAGACCGGTCAGTTGCCTTGTAAAGGCAAGGGAATTGTGCCTTTGGCACGCATCCCTAATGCATAATAGGCCCATGCAATTGTTCTATACCAATTGCCATTTACTGTGCAGAATCAGTAGAAATATGGCTGCCCTTGAAAGATATGTGGTTGGAAAGGGTGCACAGTGACCTCTCCTTGCCCCTGGAAAAAAACCCACCTACGTACGTTTTTGAAGTCATGTATTTCCAGAACTTCTTCCCTGTCCTTTCCAGTCCGAAAGATCTCTGTCCTGCTGACGGGGTCAATCTTCATTAATATCTTTTGCATCTCCCCTTGGCTGACAAAGGTGTGCTCCATGCCGTAAATCTGGAAGGATAAACAGTGTATTGGGGTGTGTGTGTCATACAGAGACAGTGACTGTGTCTGCAAGAAGCATTGCGTTTCTTTTTCTTTTTTCTTTTTAAATAAAAATGAAAAGAGCAGCTGCCCCCAGCTCCTGCTGCCTGCCTTGACGGTCCGGTTCTTCAAAGAGCTCCACTGACGCAAACCCCTGTTGGCATGCACGTGGATCAATTCTTTGGCCTTTCTAATGTGTGCACAGTATGGAAAGTTTATGATGAAGGTTAGGAAAGAGGGGCACGCTGCCTTTTCCGGCACTCTCCAAGTACAGGCTGTGCTTTAGATCAGCCCGAGTGGCATCTGAAGACACCTTCTAAAAGGGTCTTGGCGTTCCAGTTTTTATGCAAGGAATGTCTCCCCCCCCCTTTATGATTTTGGCTGGTTGTCTCATTTTGAAGGTATTCTCGTTTGCAATCCTGGTGAAATCTGAGCTTTAAGAGTCTAGGGCTCAGACAGACAGGATGCGTGGAGTACTGTGGATGGAGCACTTTTTTCTCTTGAAAAGATGACGTGTTTGGGACTATGGCATGAAGGGAGGAAGGGGTTAAGCTTCCCTTTCATTTCTGTGACTAGAAATTGCCCTGAGGAGCTGCCCTTTGCCTTGCCTGTTTGCTGTATGCAAACTTATAGGCACCCATATCAATACCTGTGTGCTTCCCCAACAGGCAAATAGTGGTTAATTGGAGCTGTTTATGGTTGGAAAAAGGGCATGGGGGGCAGGCTTAGTCCCCTTGTGCCATGATCCTTATCTGAATTGAGGTCTTGAGTAACTGATGTTTAAAGGGGGGTGGGTGGGAGAACTTGCTGGGAGGGAGCTCTATTCAAAGAAGTCCCAACTCCCGGCGTTGCATCTTCAAAAAGAGATTTTCCTTAATGGATGGAAAGAATCTCCTTTTTGTTTTGGTATGGTAAGGCAGAGAAACACTCATACTATTTAATCTTTTGCGTATCCCATTAGCTTCCAGAAAGAGACCTGCGGTGTGCTCCTGTCCTGAGCTGTTAACAAATGTACAGGTTGAGCGGGTATTACAATGGTAGGAGGCACAGAAGCAAGGACACAGGCAGACTGCACCAGACCGACAGCAACATTATACTCGTCTTTGTCCACCTCCCAAATTCTCTCTAGGCACCAGAAAAAGGTGATTCCAGTCCATACTCAGGTTCGATGTGTCCTTTGTAATTCCCCCCCACCCCACCCCAAGAAGCTGAGGGCAGTGTACAGGGTTCTCCTCTCTCACCGGTTTTATGCTCATAACCACCTTGAAAGGTATACTACATGGAGAGACAGAGTGTCGGTGGGTCACTGAATCAGTTAAATTCATACTGAGTGGGGGACTTGAACTGGGGTCTAGTCCCTAGTCCTAGATGGACACTTTAACCACTATACAAGTTCTTTGTGATGGTGATTATGATTCATACAAGATCTCAGTCAGAATTCTCCATTTTGGGGGTCTATTAAGTTTTGGGATATTTCTGAAAACCCAAGTCTGTCCGTCTATCTTCCTCCATCCGTCCTCCAGCCCTATCTGTACAAAGCCCCATTATGCAGATGTTTTTATCCACACTCTGGGGCCATTGTTCAGAGTTAGATATTTTGATTCCAGATACCTGGAGTGGCAGACTGCTTCTTGTCCTCCTCAACAGCCAGGCCACGCCAAAGTCTAAAGCGTCTGTGGGTCAGAACAGAAAAATGACCTACTTCATGTGCCAGCAGTTCTACCATTAACAGTATTCGTCCACTCTACTGCTCTTACACAGGGGAACCCGGGTATCACAGAATAAACCTGAATCCACACACCCAGTTTCTGGTCAAAGGCCTGTGCTCTACCTCCTAGCTCTCTGGCAAGCTGACCAGTGATGAAGGCGGGGCGCATCACTCCAAACGGAAGTGCAGGGCCTCTTCTTGGTGCTTGCTTATGGATTCAAGGCTGAAAGCTGTTTTCTCTTGGCAGCGTTTTGCTCCGCTTCTTTATTTGGGTTTCCTCAAGTTGGCTTGACACTGGCAATCAAGTCCTGGGGCCCTTTGTTTTTCCTGGAAGGTTGTATGAATGGCTGAGCAAACAGTTGTTTCCTGATGTCATGAGGGCAGAAAGACAAGGAGGAGAGAACTGCATACTGAATCTCGAAAATGTTGTTTGGGGTTTGGCCTTCTTCCCAAGTCTCCAGTTTTGAAATTTTGCAGGATGTGTGATTGTCAGTCATCATATGTATGTTGACAGGGGTGTCCAAATAGACTGGGATGAATATGTCTGTTATTATTGATCCCTCCCTATCTGGCTGGCAGAGATCTGGATTGCCAAGAGCCCTAAAGGCCAATGAAGAGCAGGGACCATGGCTTTGTGGCAGAGCATCTGCATCGCATGCAGAAGGTCCAAGGTTCAGTCACCGGCATCTCCAGTTAACAGGCTCCAGTAATAGGTGGTGTGAAAGATCTGATGTCCTCCTTGAGCACCACTGCCAGTTGGACAATAGTGACCTTGATAGACCAGTGGTCTGGTTCAGCATAAGGCAGCGTCATGGCTTCACGTGAGTAAGCTCTGCTTATTGACATAATAGATGTTGAGATGTTGTTTACCTAGACTTCCAGAAAGCTTTTGATAAAGTTCCTCATCAAAGGCTCCTAAGTAAACTCAGTAGTCATGGGATAAGGGGAAAAGTCCTCATGTGGATTAAAAACTGGTTAATGAACAGGAAAGAGAGACAGAGAGTGAATATAAATGGGCAGTTTTCACAGTGGAGGGTGATAAGCTGTGGGGTACCGCAGGGTTTGGTACTGGGTCCAGTGTTCCCTCTAAGCTGTGCAGACGAGTGGCCGCTCATTAACACAGGAATCCCTACTCAGCAGCAATCTGGAGCCACGCAGGGTCTTGAACTGCCCATTGCCCATTTTATGATTACAGCAGTTCTATTTTGCTTAGGATGTGAACTGCTTTGTTCAGTAAGAAAAAAAAATGAGAGGGAACATTTGTCTGATGCTTTTTAACTTGTTCATTAATGCTCTGGAGTTGGGAGTAAGCAGTGAAGTGACTAGGTTTGTGGATGACATTAAGTTGTTCAGGGTGGTGAGAACTAGGGAGGATTGTGAGGTGCTCCAGAGGGAGCTGTTGAGGCTGCGCGAGTGGGTGTCAATGTGGCAAATGAGGTTCCACATGGGCAAGTGCAAAGTAATGCACATTAGAGCCAAAAATCCTAACTATAAATACATGTTGATGGGGTCCGAAACTGGTGGAGACTGACCAGGAGATAGATCTTGGAGTCGTGGTAGATAACTCACTGAAAATGTCAACCCAGCATGCAATGGCAGTAAATAAAGGCAAATGCTATGCTGGGGATTACTGAGAAGGGAACTGATCATAATGCCCCTGCATAAATCAATGGTGTGGCCTCATTTGGAATACGGTGTACAGTTCTGGTCACCGCTCCTCAAGAAAGACATTATAGCATTGGAAAAAGTGCAGAAAAGGGCAACTAAAATGATTAAGTGGATGAAACACTTTCCCTATGAAGAAAGGTTAAAGAGGTTAGGGCTCTTTAGCTTGCAGAAATGATGACTGAGGGGTGACATGATAGAGGTTAACAAAGAAGTACTTTTCTCCCCTTCTCACAATACAAGAACTAGTGGGCACTCAATGAAATTAATGAGCAGTAGGTTTAGAACAGATAAAAGGAAGTACTTCTTCACCCAAAGAGTACTTAACATGTGGAAGCATAGACAACTTCAAGAGGAGATGAGAGCTTCCGGTTTGTGGATCAGCGATGGTGGTCGTTCTCCCCGGACCTCGGGGGAGCGACTCGCACACCAGTGGTATGGAGGGGTGCTACCACAAGTAGCACTCACACGGAGCCTTTGTGATAGGCTCCAGGTCATAGGGCTTTTGAGGGGTAGCCTCTTCGACGGCTAAATGCAAGAGAATTGAGACTCCCCTCCGCCCTGACGGTCCTGCAGCAGTGTGGCCCTCGGGCACAAGCTGATTCAACTGGGACAAGCGCTGGAGATCGAGTGGAATATCGATTACTGTGAGCGAGGTCAGAGAAATGACTGACAATGAATGTGAGTTCAAAGTAAACGGAATATTTTAAAAGCGAACCACCCCCCCAGTGGGAAAAGTGGAACGCAAAGAGGGACACCTCTTATGCGAATGGACAGATAAGCATAATGAAGGGGGCAGGGGGGAAATAAGCAGCAATTTTGTTTTGAGAGACTTACTTGAGCGCTGACATCGAGGTGACGATTTTTCGAGTCCGTGAGAAGCGGTTTGAAATTGTAAACAATCCTATAAAATGGCAGCCTTGCAAAGAAAGTTTAAAGCTAAACTGGCGGGTAGTCAGAGCCCAAAACCGGAAGAGGGAGCAGACGTCATGAAAATGTTAGAGGATATGCTCAAGCCGGTGATGGAGCAACTCGATGGTATTAACCAGCAACTGACTTCACTGAACCAAAACTTCGAATCCCAGCAGCTCCAACTGGCAGAAACAGCGAAGAAGGTGGAGCATATGACTGAGAGAATTAAAGAGATAGACACCACAAAGAAGAAAATGAAGAAAAGAATGGGTGAAGTTGAAGCAAAATAAAACTTCTAAGAAAACTGTTTGTTACAGCTACAAATGGAAAAAGCCAACATGATTCTCAGATTCCAGGGAGTTCCTGAATGGCAAACGGAGGATATGAGGAAGCTGCTCAGTGAGATTATTGCTCCAGCAATAGGCTCAACAGCGGATGAAGTAGTAAAAGAGATTGAGACTGCTTATAGGGCATACTCCAATTATATTTTAAAAAATAGCCTGCCTGGAGAAATTGTGGTCAGATTCTCAAGAAGACAGACCAGAGATGCTATTTTAAAAGTGACTTCAGCAACTCCACTGAAAATGGGGAATATAAACATTAAAACTTTAAAAGACATTCCATTTGAAATTCGCCAAAAGAGGAACAGCTATAAGGACTTAATTTATTTTCTTCAAACCAATGGCATTTTGTACAGGTGGGCGATCCCAGAGGGTGTCATCTTTAAAATCAATGACAAAAGAGAAAAGATTGACTCCATTTTTAAAGCCAAAGAATTTTTGAGACGCCAGTTGGGATTGGAGGACGAATCCAAAGATGAAGAATCGAAATCAAGTCACTCCGCTACCTCTGGAACGGATGAGGACTCTGCTGTAGAAACGGGAGCGGGCGCAACGAAAGTTACATATGATTTCAGAGCCAGAAAACCGAAGTAAAGGCAGAAGGACTCTGAAAATTGCCTTTTGAAGCAAATAACAAGAAGATGCTCAGAAAGTTCTCTCACAACAACTAACATACTAACATTGAAGCCGAGACAAACAAGAACTCTACAAGTATATTGTTGTACTAACACTTTTATTAATAACACTTAGATTAACACGGATATGATCTCCTCCTCTTGGGTTTTTAGTGTAGTGCGGTTATCTATCCTTTATCCTTAGATGTAATTCCCTTCCCTTACATTTTCTTTGTAGTTTTGTAGTCTTATAAAAATAATAAAAAATATCCCTCCGGGGATTTTAAAAAAACAACAACACAAAACTTCAAGAGGAGATTAGATAAGCATATTGGACTGGATGGGCCATTGGCCTGATCCAACATGGCTTCTCTTGTGCTCTTATGTTCTCTTAAACATAAATGAAGTAAAATAAATTCATGTAGATATCCATGTTAGTCTGAAGCAGGAGAACAAAATTTGAGTCCAGTAGCACTTATGGGTGCATGCAGATTGGTTGCTTATGATTAACTTCATTTCTTTATTAATTCATTTTACTTCAGATCAAAGTTTGAGTCCAGTGGCACCTTTAAGACCAACGAAGTTTTATTTTGGGTGTATGTATCTTATACGAAAGCTTATACCCAGAATAAAACTGTTGGTCTTAAAGGTGCCACTGCACTCAAACTTTGTTCTGAAGTAAAATGAATTAATCAATAAAGAAATGAAGTAAATCATAAACAACCAATCATTCTTGGTCCATTTCATTCAGTGTCTCTTCAGAAATTCAGTGAATTCCTATGGCTGCCTGGAAAGAACCTATTTATTCCCATTAGGAACACTAGTGAATTTCGCCAGGCAGCTCAAAATCCCCTTTTTGATTTTGTGTGGGTTGAAGCCATGAATCTTTATTTTCATGCCATTTTCTTGTGTGTTGTATTCATTTTAGGCCTTCAATTGGAGCATTATTTTCCCAGTACTGTGGTGTATTAAAGGCATATAGATTAAAATAAAAGTAACAAATTAACTGCGAATGACCAAAGTGGAAATAGGTGAACCAAAAAGGCTCCATTTGACCTCACAGAAAACAAAAGAAGAAACGAGAAAGTACGTCTTTATCCATTCCTAACCCCCAGTGGGCATTCCGGCACATTCTTTTCATTTCAGATTCCAGGGCCTGGCGCTCAGTCGCCGTTGGGAACAGGCGATGGATTCGCAGCTAGGCTGTGGTACTGACTTGCTGCGTGGCGAAAGACCTGAGGGTGAGATGTGCCTGGAATGAAAACGATTTCTCCAGATGTAGCTTCTGAATAGCAGCGGCTGATTGCAAACAGATGTTGCTGTCAGGTCGGACAATGAAGGAAAGTCAGGCTGGGTACCCCGACAGCTCGTCACTGGAGGAAGCCTCCCCACTGCATCTGAGCTTGTGCTGCCTGTGAGATCTCACAGATCTTCTTTTGCTACCTCTTAGATTCATTGAATCATAGAATTGGGAGGGACCTCCCGGGTCATCTAGTCCAACCCCCTGCACAACCCTCTCATGATGGAAACAGGCTTTGCCCTGCTGAAAAAGATGCTGCTGCATGGCTGTGGGAATGTATTGCTTCCTTCTGTATGACCCTGGGAATTGTAATTATCGTACGGCATTGTGTGTAGAATAGCCAGGAGATCCTAAGGCTGTCTGGCAGCTCAAAGTTCTAGCCCTTTTACCATTATGCACCACTAGGTGGGGAGCTAGCCTGGTTTTCAAGGCAGGAGACGTTTCAGAGGTGGTTTGCCATTGCCTGCCTCTGCGTCACAACCCTGATTGGAGGTCGCCCTTCCCAATACTAGCCAAGGCTGACCCTGCTTAGCTTCTGAGATCTGACATCGGGGCAGCATCGGGGGCAGCAACTAATCCCTCTTGGTTTGGTGCATTTAGTGGTCAGGTGGAAGTTCAGCATATCCTAATGGCCACTTGGAAGGTACAGCGGCTACAGTTTCAGATTAGGGTCTGGAAGAACTGGCTTTGAGTCCCGGCTCTGCTGGGTAGCTTCCCTGGGTGACCTTGGGCTGGTCTCTCTCTAACCAGTCTGTCTCAAAGAGGGAAGAGGGGGAAACAGTGCTGTATGCTGCTTCGGACCCGCACTGGGGAGAAAAAGCAGGGCATGCATGAATTAAAATGAGCTAAGTTCCAGGGATTATTTGGCGTTGTCTTTTTGGTGTGTGTCTTGAGTGTCCTCTGCGCTGCTACCCATCCTCAGTGAATTCAGTGGCCGTATTTTGTTAGTTGGTATTCTGATCAGAGGTCATTTTGGGGGGGAATGCGGGGGAACGCAGTTCCCCCGGGTGAGGTGCAGGGGGCGGGGCACATGACAAAGCCCCGCCCCCTGCTTCCGGCCGCCCCGCTTCCAGCCCTCATTCAGCCAGGAGGAGGCAGGAGAAGAGGGAGGGTAAGTTGCTTCCTCCTCGCCTCTCCCCACCCCTGCCTGCCTGGGGCCAGGGAGGGCCTTGGCAGGGCTTCCTCGCACTCCCACTGACCTTGCAGGTCCACCGCCGGGCCCCTGATGTCAGGGGGTGTGGCATATGCTAATGAGTTATGCTAATGAGTTCCCCTAGCTCTTTTTCTACGAAATGACCCCTGATTCTGATGGTTTGTGGAGAAGGGTGATGAGCTACACAAGACCCTGAAGCCACAGACCCTGACCCCTAGAAATCCTTTGGCTTCGGTGATTTCACGTGGCCTATTTTTTTTTAGAGGGAAGTTTGTCTCTTTAAAAAAAGGCCTCCAAAAACTTGAGAATCCTGTGGTGCTGCAGTTCTGCAACCAATTCTGCAGAATGGAATGCACACCATTCTGGAAGAGAATTGTTTAAGAGGGGCCCTGGAGTTCATGCTTTTGTAGAGCCTGTAAACCCAGGAATTGTGGTCTGAATTGTCCAGGTGAATCCCAGGTGGTGGTTGGGCTGCTGGGTGAACAGACTACCCTTTGCAAGCTTTGGACAGCTTTTCATAGAATCACAGAGTTGAAAGGGACCTCCGGGCTCATCTAGTTGAACCCCCTGCACAGGAAATTCACAAATTGGCCTGGAGAAAAATGGCTTCCTGGTTCCAAAGTGGCAATCAGCATTTCCCTGGGCGTGGAAGAAAGGGCCACGAGAATGAAGCACTGAGTCAAGTCTTCCTGCCCTCCCTCTCATGATCTGCCTGAGTTCACAGAATCAGCATGGCTGTCAGATGGCCCTCTAGCCTCTGTTTGAAAACCTCCAAAGAAGGAGAGCCCACCACCTCCCGAGGAAGCTGTTCCACTGAGGAACAGTGTTCCCTCTAAGCTGAGTTGGAGTGAGCTAGCTCACTGTTTTTTAGCCTCCAGCTCACACATTCTTGTCTTCGCTCAGGAAGGAGGGCTCCAGAGCAAACTAATTTTTGCAGCAGCCAAATTGCTCGCTCACAGCTTTAATGCCAGTGGCTCACAAAGTAGAATTTTTGCTCACAAGACTCCGCAGCTTAGAGGGAGCACTGCTGAAGGGGCTCGTGGCCAAACCCCACCCCTCGCCCATCGCAAAGGAAGTCATGGAGGAAGGCTGGCAGCTGCCCCTCTTTTGGGTCTGCTGACCCTGGTTCTGATGTGCAGGTCGCTCTGAAACTCCTCTGGTATAAAGTGCCTCTGGAAACTGATTAATGAAAGAAAAGAACACAACAGAAGAGATTCCCCCCCCCCTTCAAGAGCAAGCTCGCCTCATGGTGGCCCCTTCCTGCTGTAGACCCGTTAAAGTTCAAAATGCAATCCATGGCGATCAATCACCCGCCCGATTTGGCTCCTTCTCTTGTAATGTGGCGGCATAATGGGTTTCCCACCCGTTTCTGGCAAGATAATTGAAACAAAATCGGTGTGGGGGGGAAATACTTTCTTGCAATTAATTGCGTGGCCGGCGCTGTGGAGGCTTTTGTGGCGAAAACCCCATCGTAAAAAAAAAAAAAAGTTTCTAAAACTTTCCATAAAAATCACCTTGAGTATTCAGAGTTTGGTTTTCTAAAGGGGGGGGGGATCATTAGAAGGACTAAACAGAACTTTTGTGGAGAGAAAAGAAATATCACTTATATCCGAGTGGGAGAAGATAACTTACTTTGTTAGGCGGTGGGTTCCAAAAATACTGGATGCCGAGAAATGTCAGGATGAGAGAGAGCACCAGGATACCGAGCAGCACCCCACAGATCTTCTGCCTTTTGCCAAGTTCCTTCTGGGCTTTAGACGTCTGTGCCTAATAGTCACGGAAAGGCCAAAAGGAGAAAGGGCGTTTGGTCGAGGCAAGCAGGGGATGGACGTGTGCACGGAAAGATAGAACCCCCCAGTTTGCAAGCAGTGGGGACACACAAGACGTCCACTCCGCAAAGAAGAATAAAATCCACTTACATCTTGGATGTTGAATAGTCCCTCGGAGCTCTCCTGGGGTGGTTTTCTCATGTTGCCTCTGCTCGGTGTGAAATTCCCTTCTGCACACAGAGACACAGAGAGAAGGCGAGGGCACTGAAGCTGAGGTGGAGTCACACTGCGTTGGCTCTGAGTGTGTCAGAGAGGGGAAAGTTTGCTCTCTGGCTCGGGCTGGCTGTACAAAATTGTGCTTTCCCACAGGGGGTGGCGGATTCTCGGGGGAGGGCAGGATGAACCAGTGTGGGGCTGCATGAGGGCAAGTGGGGGGTTTGTGCATTGGAATGGAGGCGAGGTGTCATGCGCCCGCTTTTGTTATGAACTGGCAAGGGCTGCGGGTGTGCATTTTATGTGCCTGCTGGATGGGGGGGGGGAATGTTGCCCCTCCCTCTAAGCGGGGGATTTTTATTTGGAAAGGGCATTGTTGGTGGTGAGGTGCCGAATTCTTTATACCTGCCTGCCCTCAAAGCCATCGATGTGGTGTTCAGATCAAGTTCAAACAATCCAACATAAAATCTGCACCAAAGAAAACGTACATGGCAAGCATTTTTCTTTTGCTGTCATGTCACAGCCGACTTAATGGCAACCCCGTAGGGTTGTCAAGGCAAGAGACATTCAGAGGTAGTTTGCCATTGCCTGCCTCTTCATAGCAACCCTGGAGTTCCTTGGTAGTCTCCAACCCTGCTTAGTTCCCAAGATCTGACGAGATCAGGCTTGCCTGAGAATAGAAAACTCTTAAAAATAAACAGCTACTTGGTCATTTGTTGAGCAGATTGACTTCTTAGTCAGCTGAGGCCCATCAGAATAGAAGAGTCTTAACTTGTTGCATTAAACAACAAATAGATGTCTCATGAATGCTTCTGAGGAGCAGGGCTATTTTTGGGCAGGAACGCACAGGAACGGAGTTCCGGCTGGCTCCCAAGTTCGCCACACCCAGCAGGAACTCATTAGCATAATAGGCCACATCCAACAGCAGAAACTCATTAGGATTGGCTACATTAGGGGTGTGTGGCCTAATATGCAAAGGAGTTCCTGCTACAAAAAAAGGCCCTGGGTTTTGACAACAAACAAGGTAAACAGAATAAGAAGCAAAAGGTGGGTGTGGCTGGATGACCAAACTTCTGGTAACATGGGGGTGCAGCCTAATGTGCTAATGAGCTGTGCTGTCAGGGGTGTGGCCTAATATGCTAATGAGTTCCTGCTGGGCTTTTTCTACAAAAAGAGCCCTGCTTCCACAATCGGGGTCCCACCACAGAAAAGGCCCCGTGCTACTCACCAATGTTTGGAAGGCAGGGACATGGAGAGCAAAGACCTCCAATGAACCTCTCCGTCACCAGATAGGTGGTCTTTCAGATAACTTTGTCTCAGGCCTTTTAAGAAGACTGCATAAAAATGGTTGTTTCACAAAGTGCCAATGTTCAGTGGTGTCTTCTTGAACTCTCTGATTTGACTTGCTGTTGTGTATGTAATGTAATGTATTATAATGGCATGAATGTATTGAGCTTGAATCTGACATGGTATTGTAAAACGACCTATCAGAACAAAGGAAGTTCTGGAGGGAAGAGAAATGATTGGTCTTTATGTACTGTATGTGATTGGACCTTAGCTGACATGTGGGCGTGGCTTGCCAAGCCCAGACTATTTAAAAAGGAGCCTGTTGCTCCATAGTTTGTCTCATTCTGGTTCTTCTGACTTCGTGTTCAATAAAGCTGTTAATCACTCTTCACCTGCTGCCTGAGTCTCGTATCTAACACTTGCAGTACCTGCCTCCCTGATCCCAGGTGAGCTTGGACACTGCTTACTCAATGGCATGGGAAAGACACTCTGTTCATGATCAAGGGCACTGTTTTCTCTTGGCTTACCATGTTCCATGGCAAGCCCTAGCACTGAAGGCAGGAAGGGGAGGTATCTGGGGTTTGTTATTTTATTATGATTTTAATGTGTAACATTTAAACTATTGCTGTTAAGTTGCCTTGAGCCAAAAGGAAAGGTGGGGTAAAATATTTGGATAAATAAATAATTTCTGAACCATGGCCCAAGGCTACAGGTGGGGTTATAAGGAAATGGTCAGCATCTGTCTACAGGCACAAGGGATATTACTAGGCCTTTATGAAGGTTAAACAGCAGAGGTGGAAGGAGCAGCTTTGCCTGTTTTTTATGGATCGATCTCAAGCTTTTGTGGACAATCTTTTAATCCTGCCCTTCCTCTAAGGAGTTTAGGGCAGCACAAGAGGGTCTCTCCTCCTTCATTTATTCCTGTGAAGCAGATTAAGAAGAGAGAGAGCAACTGAGAGTAAGCTGAGTGAGAAGTCGCACAGTGAGTTTACTGGCAGAGGATAGATTCGAATCCAGGTCACCCAGTTGTAGCCCAATACTGTAACCACCACATCACTCGAGTGGTCTGCTGTGTTATTCACTGGCGTAATGGCTTGTAAGGCAGAGATGTTCCACCAGGCTTTAGTTGAGGGCAGCAATGGGAGGTTGAGACTGGCACCTTCTCTTTCTTTTCTATGGCCTCCACATACCCTTCCCCACCCTACCGTGCGGGACAGCAGTGTTGCCGGCAGGGGTCATTTCGTAGAAAAAGAGGTGCAGGAGCTCATTAGCATAACTCATTAGCACAACGTATTTGCATATGCCACACCCCCTGACATCACCGGAAGTGTGTCAGAAGGCAACGCCCACCACTCAGGCTCCACTGGACTGTTTTGGATTGCTAGCTATGGGGGGGGGGGGAAACTGTGGCAGATGTGCCTTG